TTTTAAGTACCTATATATATTGTTTGGAATATGTTGTTTACATATTTAAAATTTCATGTGAATTGCTTTTGTTTTGACAGTGTTATACACGTTTATATTATATAAATAATATTCCAAAATTTTTTGCACCATACTGTATATAGTCCTAATAACGTAGAATGATTTTTAAAATCAACTTATTCTTGCTTTATATATTTTTGGTAATTGTTTTTAGCTCAATAAATTTTGTTTTTTTAAAATAAATTTTATTTAGTTACAAACACACTATGTCAAGTAATAATAAATTGCCAAATGATAATGAATTTGAATCTATTTCAAATAAAAATTTAAAAAAAAGAAAAGGTAGTTGACCTAAGGATCCAGTTTGGGAAGATTTTGATATTGGTATCTCAGATGGCAAAGGACATTAAGAGGCAAATTGTAAATTCTGTACTAAAGCTAAATGGCAATGTGATAGATTAGCAATAATGATGGCACATTTGGCATTTCATTGCAAAGACAATATACAGTGTGTTGTAAAAAGAATGATAATTATAAAATTACTTATTGCGACACAAGTGATACATCAAATTAAGTAAAAATTTATTTATAGTAAGATAAGACATATATGATTTATATAAAAAAAAAATTTAATATGAAATTCTTTCTTCATTTTTTTCTATTACTAATTCACATCATTGCCTCATTGATTATATTAATTCTTTTATAGTAGATTCTGAAATATTTACTCATTCTTCATCCATAAACTGCATTAATTCGTTACAATTTTTTTGACATTCACTTCTCCATATTCTCCTTAACTATCGATCATAAATCTTTGATCAGATTTAGGTCAGGGCTATTCGATGGTCACATCATAAGATCCAGAACATTTTCAGCCAGGGAAGCCTTAGTCAGATAACTGGTATGCTTGGAGTCATTGTTCTGTTAGAATTTTCAGTCACCCCCAAGCATCCTTGTAACTTTGGAAATACAGTCGCAAAGAATATCTATGTAAAATTTAGAATCCATAATCTTTGTAAAGCAAAATAAACTAGTCTTACCACTTGTACAAAATCCACCCCATGCGAAAACCTTTGTTTGGTCCTTAGGTATGAATTTTACTAGTTGTGCACTCATATACCACCTTTTTATTGTGTTCCAGAATAATTGAAAAGCTATCTCGTCTGTAAAAATAGTTTTTTCCCAATTGTCTTCCAGGTGTTCTCGGGCTCATTCGATGTGTTTTTGTATCTGATTGTTTATTAGCATTGGCACCTCTAAAGGAAGAGCATTTTGATATCCGATTCTATACAAATGTCTCGGAATGGTAATGTGGGAAACACTAATACCCTTTTCCTCCAGTTTTAATGCCAGTGTTCTTAAAGAAAGTGAAGAATTCTGCTGAAGGTATTGTTCCAACATTTTTGAAATGCTGCTGGTGATCTTTCTTGGTTGCCCATTACCTTTTTTGTATGTGGTTTTGCCCTGGATTTTTAATTTTTTAAGGTTTCTGTAGATAGTTGCAAGTGTATACCAGTCCAGCAGTAAATCTCACTAGCCTTATATACCTTCTATCTCCACAAATGTAATATGGTATTGCATTGTGCTTCTTGCCTAGAAGGTGACATTATGTTAGTAGGTTTTTCTGAAAGTAACAATGAAATGTGGTTGTAAGACAAAAGAAACTTGATCATCTACATTCAGTCCATATTCTAGTAAATTCTTGTTACACTTCATCTAAAATTAGTAAAGTTAGAGATAATCTTGTGATATGTAAATCTTTATTATTCTTTTTGCAACACATTGTACATGATAATATTTGACACAAATGGTTAGTAACTTTGGCAAAAAACACAGAAAAAAATATAAATATCAATGATGATTATAATGATGACTATGATGATATAACTTTTAAGAAAGTTAAAAAAGAAGCAACATATCAAATTACTGAAGATCGAATTAATGAAATTAATTGTGCACTACTTAAAGCATTTGTGTGTTGTGGTATTCCATGGGTAATAATAGACAATCCTTTTTTTAAGGATTTTTTACAAATCTTAGAACCAAATTACATATCACCAAGTCGACAAACTCTTTCAGAAAAAATCTTAATAAAGAAATATCATGTACTACAATAATAGTTACCAATCATTTACAACATTCTGACAATTTAACTTTAACATTGGATGGATGGAGCAGCCCATCAAATAATTCTCTTTATAATTTTTTTATAACAACATCGGATCGAAAGGAATATTTACATTCTATTGTTGATTTTTTGTTATTTAAGCAAACTGATCAAATTATAGCAGAAGAAATTGCCAAAGTTGTTAATTCTATAGGCTCTCAATGATTTATTGCTTGTGTTACAGATGCTGGAAGTAATATACGTGTAGCTCGTGAAATTACAACACAAAATTATTTCCATATTTTAAATATGAGATGTGTTGCATATGCAATTAACTTAATTGCAAATGATTTAGCTCAAGTTTCGCAAATTAAAAAAAATATTAAGAAGGCAAATGATGTAATAGAATATTTTAAACTTTCTCATCGAGCTGACAGTTTATTTCGAGATATTATCAATACAATGAAAATCAAAGGTGGAGGCTTAGAAACTTATGTGAAAACTCGTTGGTGTTCATTCTATTTCTATTGTATGATGTAAACCTGTATTTGATAAGTTATTGGAAGATTACCGTGAAGTCATTAGCAATTCTTCTGTTTTTGCAATAATACAAGATATATAAGATTGTTTTTACGCAGATTGCAAACATATTGTATCAATTTTTAAGCTGATTAAGGAAGCTATTTATTCTCTTGAAGCAAAATCAGCAAATATGACAGATTGTTTAATTAATTTAGTAAAAATAGCTATTGCAATTAAAACAACTCCAAATACCAATCCTTTTCGATCTTTAGCTATTCAAATTTTTAACTATAGATATATGCAATTTGATATCAATCTTTATTTACTTACTTATTTTCTTTACCCTAAATATAGAGGACAAGGACTTCACATTAATACTTTTAGAATTATTTGTGAAACAGCAATTAATTTATATAAAGATAGTTACCATGATGAAACAACATGTAGAAAACTTATTTATGAATTAATTAGTTATAAGAGTGGTCAAACTTTAGATTTTAGTTATGATGAATCTATAATTACACCGTTGATGTGGTGGGATGTTGTTGGAAATACTCATATTCATATTCAGGAATTAGCGAAAATATTATTTTCTATTGTTTCCTCACAAGCAAGTTGTGAACGCAACTTTTCAATATTGAAATGGTTTTATGGTTCATGAAGGACTAAACTTAATCTTGAATGTCTTGAAAGTATGGCCAAAATTCATTCTTTTTATTTATCTCAAATTAGCAATGAATTGAAATTCTATGGAAAAGAAAGAACGGAAGATGATTTGCGACAAAGTGCTCTTAGTGAAACAATATATGTAGATAATATGGATAATGGGTTCGAATATGATGAAAATAATACTATACAAGTTCAACCATTTGATGAATTTTTAAAAATTCAAGAGATTGTGGATTTTAATAATCCAATATTCGGTAGAATATCAATTACGGAAGAAATAAATTATGTTGAAGATAAAGGCGTAGGGAATATGGATTTTATTGTTGAAGACGTAATAGATAGTGTTTTAACTAGAATGTAATACATAAATATTGATTTTATTGTTAGAGATAGTGTTTTAACTAGAATGTAATACATAAATATGAATATTAAAACGATTATATTAAAATAATAAATAATTTACTTTAACATTTGTAAATTAAAAATTTAACTTACAACTTCCATATTTTTTATTATATGCGCATTTAAAATATCATTGTTGTGATGTCTCGGTTGGTTCATCTGTCACGACTTCTGCTACAATATCAACCTGAACTTCGTTTCTTCCAGTGGCTTGCAACTTGACAATGGTTCGAACTTCTTTCACTTCTTTCGACAAAAACCATACTGGTAATAGGATAAATGCCCTCTTGATTAAAGTGTTGGAAATATCTAGTGTATATCTCTATTATTCTTATAATTGGATTACAGCATATAGTAGAGACCTATAATTTTATATAGTTAATATATAGATATTTAATAATATTGATAAAGAATAATTGCTAGCATACCTTGCGCAAAAGTTTTTATAACCCGATGCAACTTTTTTTTTTTAATATACTCAGAAAAAATTTTTATTACTGAAACTTGACACAGAAAAGAATGTATTTATTATTAAAAAAAATTTTTTTTCAAATATACGTACATCCATTGTTAAACGTTTCTTTTACCTGAATTTGATTAGCAAGCCCGAAGTTCAGTTCCGATTCTAAAAGAAAAGATCGAATTCAAATCGATTTTTTTTTAAAAAAAAAAATAAAGGAAAGATAAGAGTCGGTAAGGGATAGATAAAATATATTAGAATTTGCGGATAAGGAAAAGGGTAGAAGGCAGAATTCGTGTAAGAATAGAATTGGTTCACGGTTTATTAGAGCATGGTGTAAGGGTAGAATTGGTACATGATAGATTAGGATTTGTGTAAAGGTAAAATTAGTTGGTTCGCGGTGTATATTAAAGTTAATAAAAGTAGTATAGGATAGATCTTATTAATGACAATTTCAATTTAATCACATGATTAATATCGGCATTATCCCATGTTTGGGTTTTGACATTTGGGCTGGAATTAATACTATTGTTGAAACTCATGGGTTTGTTCGACACCCCTACTATGGATATCATACCCCCCAGAATATCATACATTCTGGAATAAATAGAAATTCATCAACAATTATAACGACTATCTATTGTTCCAATTCATCTCCTTAGAACGCATGCGTTAATATAGACTAATTGACATCAACAACAATTATAACGGCTAACAACGGTAATCAAGTAACGATTTCTACAAAGAGAATAATCGAATAATCTAATTGGTCAATACAAATATTTAGTCACGTGCGTGCATTTAGTTTATATAGACACGTGCAGGATAGGTGTGCATTTGGATGATGTGCACTTAGTATTAGAGGGTTTTCTCTGTATTTTTTTTATCCTTTATCAATCAAATCAGAAAACGAAAGCAATCAGATTTTTTGTAACAGATATTTAAAAATTTTCTTGTTCGCAAATATCTTGATATGTCGTATATGTCGGAAGAAGAACGTTCAAAGCTGAAACACCCAAGTAAGTCTGTTACTTTACTTTCCTATTTTTAACAGAATAATGAGAAAACAAACCTTTTGCTATTTATATTACTGGGATCGAGAACCTAACACTTGAGGAAGCATAAAAGATTGGGACTTTTACTTGCTTAAAAACCTAGACTCGTCACAGGTTAATAAACGTCTTTCACACTCAGCCTTGGATGATGAGCTAAGATGCTTGAAGCAGATGTATGATGAAAACCATCCTATTTATAAGACGGCTTGTCATTGGCATGACAAATTGAGGGAAGTATTAGTTTTTTTGACTTCGCGAATTTTGTCGTGCCAGCGTACTTGATAGTTAATCTGGCAACCGAGCGTTGAGAAGGTTTTCCCGAGTGCAAAAACCGACAGGTAGCACCGCGTGTGCGTGACTATCAAAACGCGCGACGTACTATATGCCTAAACCGGCAACCGAGTGTTGGAAAGGTTTTCCCGAGTGCAAAAACCGACGGCTATTACCGAGCGTAGGGGCATAGAAACGTTGTCGAGCAAGCATTGTGGCACTGTGAACCCTATCCAGTATCTCATTGTTATGCCTAACTATTTACATACATTTATGCATACAGAAAAGTGATAGTAAAATTTGGAAGAAGAAGGAACAAATCTCACCTTTACTTTTGGAGGCTGATGTGGTTGATCTGGAATTGGAAATCGCCCAGGTAAGTGACTTATTCAAGTTTACCTTCTATACTTAACAGTACCTTTATTCAGTCCTTGTTGAATTCATTGTTACAGAAAAAGGGAAGACATGATATTCATCAAATAGCAAGACGAGGATATAAAAAATATTCAGACATAGAATTTGGTCTAGTGGAGAGGGTGCAGAAGAAGATCAAACCAAATGAAAATAATGAAGAGGAGGAACCCATTTCAAGTGATGTCTCACTTGATTTGCAGTCTCAGGCTCAACAACGAACTCCTGAACGCCAGTTCAGTCCATTAACTGTGCCTGAGGTAATTACATTTTATGTTTAGTAAATAAAAGCGTTTTTTCTTAAGCCTTCTTATGTGTGTTCAGATTGCCAATGATGAACCTCAGCCGATCTGTTGGGAGTTCGATGAACCAGTGCCAACCTGGCTAGAGAAAGTAGTAAGACGACAAGAGTTTTGACCTCACAAACGGATCCGTCTGACAGATATGAATCGTCACTAAAGTATTTTTTTTTTTGCTATTTTATTCTAAAGCATTTTTTTTATGTACAGTATATAATCACTTTTATCTTTTGTAACGACAAATCCTGATTAATTCTTGATTGATTCTTATCCCGATCTGGTGGCGAATAATAGATGCCTCGGATCTAAAAAGTACATTAGATTTTCTGACTGAAGCGAACATGTCGGATCTGGTCGCTGTATTTGCATCTGTCCTTAATGTAGGCCATCCCACTGAAGATTTGACCATACTGTAACCTTCAGTTGAGAGATATTTACAGGCTCTTGCTAAGGTCAGTATTGATAATTTAGCATTTTATATTTTGTTTCATTTGATTTTGTATTATTTCAATTATTTTATTAACGTACGTTTTGAATCCCAGCTTGATAACGATCACCTCAGTAAGGTTGGAAAAATAGTGGCACTCGAAGGATTTCATGGAACTATCCTTGAAATTCAGAAAATGGTGAAGAACGTTGAGACATCAAGCTTGAGCGTTTCTTTATTTGACGATGAAGATACGAATGATAAGGTAAAGCCAACATCTTCTATCGAGGAAGAAGACTACTTGAACCCTGATGTGCAATTTATTTTGGACTTGATTCGATTTACGTAAGTTATTCAATTCATGTTAATTCGGAAAATTTATTATTCTGCGTGTATTCCGCTTAGCTCCTTAACCATAACTTTAACCAGATGTGAAATGCTTGCGAAAGGAATTCCCCAGCGGAAAAATTCTGAAAGAGACATAGATGTCTTCATCAAACGGCACCTATTTTCGTGTTTTGACAATATTCTAGACAGTCACTTGTAAGTTCTACTGTCAATTCTAAGTATTTTCGATGTTGTTAATAATACATAATTGTTCTTAAATAAGCGGGGAGATGGTATCAAGGGCCTCTCGAGATCGTCGAGCTGGAGCAATGGATGCTCCAGAAACAGCAGAGGGCTATCATTTGGACTGGATGTTTACGGTACACTAGATTTTGGAGAGTTCATTGTTAATATTACTTACTAATACTAACTTAAATTAACAGAAACATGATCTAGAAAAAGATTTGCCGTATGGTCGCGAATTTTCACTTTGCGAGCGCACCGGCTCTAGAATTGAAAACGAAAGAAAGATCCTTTCGAATACCTTAAAGGCTCAGAAGACGTTAAGAGACATGCATAGAACTCTAGTTGAAGCTATATCAGTTGAAGGCGGAGGAATGCTGTCAAAACAAGTATTGAGAGCTACCACCAAGCTTCTTATGCCTGGATTCTTATCTCATTGTTTTTTTATTCGCGCCTTCCTAGTTGTTTATATAGGAGGTGGATTTTATTCATCAATAATTTTGGCGGACTTTGATATTCCATCGACATATTCGGAACTTGGGACTATCATCAAGGTTTCGCGCATTATGCTTCGGGTTAAGGTTGGTAACAATCCAAAAACCAGTATTTAAATTATAGTTTTATACTCATCTTCCTTGCTGTTTGCAGAAACTGTTGAATCTTACGGTTTGCCGTTTCAAGCTTATGAAGGAAAGGGCTTTTAATGAAAAATTCGCTAGTGGAAAAGTGTTAGTGAATGCCCGATCACAGGAAAACGAAAAAGGAAAAATAAGATTATCGTAGTTCATTAGTTGGGATATAGTAAAAATATTGGCACTTGAATATGATGTATTTACAGACAAGCCTATCTGATTTATGATGTGAAAGTTCTTTAATGCACTTTGGCGCTTTGTCAATCATTAGAAAAAAATACCAAACAAAGTTTGCACTCCCTTCAACGTTAATGTGTGCTCTTGTTCCGAAACGGAACTCACGTGATTAAATTTTCCTAAGACACTAAGGTGATACATGTATGATTTGTGCATGCAACCAGCGTCTTTGACTTAATTTAAAATAACCCGGATTAGATCTATCCCCCATTATACGTCTTAAATCTAACTATAGATGAAACCAAATATGTAATGGCTGAAGTTTTAACGCAGAAGGTTTGACGAGTTCGGATGCCCCCTAAAAAATAATTTCATAATTTTTTTTCGGCAGGTAATCATAGACTTGAAAGTAAGCTGGGGGAAACATTTTTATCTTTTAGTGAGAAAAAAGGCCTCGGCCATCTGAAAATGTATTCTAATAACTATAATTATGTTGACATAGCATAGTGCTACGCACGTGATAGATAATTTTATCATGGAATCTAATGATATTATAAACGCGATAGCAAACCCAGATATTTCTCGGCAACATATTCCATGCAAAGCTAGAAAAAAACCAATTTTTAACGATACCGCATCTGAGTCCTCATCCACATCTGAATCTGGGTCTGAGTTTGAATCGTCTAATGATGATAAAGATTTTACTGTGAAAGTGGTGAAAGCAAAGAAGCGTGATTAGTAATTGTATAGATCTATAATATCTGATATCTCAGTATTTTTTTCTCTAGTCGTTGGAGCAATTGATCTGCCATTCATCACACCATAATGATCTGATGCTTCTCGATTGATTTTGTGTCTTAATGCTAACTTACAAAGACGGTTACATTTAGAGCGAGTCTTACCTTCATGGATTATAATAGCATGATCAGATCTGAATTTTCTCAGATATGATGAGCTTATTCCATAAATAGCTAGGAATTTATTAATCGGGTGAACATTTACATCACCATCTTTATCTCTTATTAGAAATGGAAATTTCGCCGGAATTGCTTTTTGGATCCAAATGAGTAATTTTCTGGCTTGTTCTGGATTTTTTTTCCATGGATACAAATGTTCGGGGCTCATCTTTTGCATCTTTTGCATATCCAGTGCAGTACCAAGAATATTTAGGATCGTACCAGGCCCAAAGGGGCGACCTTAAAAGGACATCAGCATTAGATGGTTTATAGTAATCAATACGAAGATTTGCAACATCTGCTGGCCTCATAGATAACATTATAATTATATCCATTAAATTTTGCATTGTAGGGGAATTGTTAATGTTACAATTCTTAAGCCTTTTCTGAACATTTTCCAAGTAAAAGAATTCTGGACAATTATATCCCTCATCTTCACAGAGTTCCTAATTTATCACTTGTTTTTATTTGATCTTTGAGTGATATCCAGGATATATATAGATTCTATTGTAATATAATTAACATCGAGATTGCATAATTCTTTTTGGAGCAATTTAAGACATAATTATTGGACTATTATGGTAGGAGCTGTTTTAGCTAAGTTATATGCTAGCGTATTTATCTCTTTAGATTCAAGATTGTTTTCATTTTCCTTAATATATTGAGCAAGCTTTTTAATCGGGTCTCATTCTGTAACATGTCTTCCGGAAGCCTAGATAGGAATTAAAGCATATGTTTGATCTTTGCTAAATCCTAATTTTTGGATTCTATTCCAAACATGATTATGGGTTTTATAATCTTTAATCTCTTTACATATTCTTTCAGCATATTTATCAAGCTCAGTGATACTTATCTAAGGAGTTAAGTTATACAAATTTGTAGCTACTTTGGACATTGTTGTTATGGTATAATTGTGTAGACTATAACTATGAAATAGATTTTTTTAAATCGAAATTAATTATCCATGGATAGCTATACCCAAAGATTGAATAGGTGGCGATTAATATAATTCTAACAAAAAATGGATGTGAATAAATCACAAAATAGATCGAAAGATTTAATCTATAAATGTCAGGTATATGATACACGTCGTCAATATTTTGAGTTAGATCTGTCAATTTGAAATTTATCAATACATAGGATATAAAGAAAAAATTATAGCTTCAAGTTGTGGCGACTCAGGCTATATTGCATATCAAGTTACTACATAACATGTTTTATTTTTTAATATATTTCTTGAATAGTAATGGAGGAACCAAGAGTCTTTTTTCTTTCCAAAGCACATATTCATCATGTATCGATTTATTATATGTTGGTTCATTGATTGTAATCATGCGATTTGTTTTGGGGTTATAGATTTTTGACTTTCTCCAATGATTAGTCAATTTGGATAATTGCTCAGTAGTAATCATTTCTTTGTTATATTCCAGCTCTTCAGTGTACATGATTGGTGTGTTACTAGTGTGAACGTGATTTTTGGCGAGTCTGTCGCTTCTTGAACCAGCACTCGCATAACGTTCAGGTGGGTAGGTTTCTTTAGTCGAGGCGTGTGATTTGACTTGGCCGGGTTTTCTTT